CTCAGGTCAAGCGATTTTTAATAAAAAAATATAAATGGTGTATAGCCCCAACAAACATTTTGTGTAGGGGAAGTAAAGGCCTAATAACTGTCACCCTCCAATTACATTGATAGCCATTTGACTTTTTTAATTAAAAGGCCGGCATATATAGGTCACTACGGCCGACAGTCGGGCCGAAGTCACTTTGCCATCATAACCAATTAATGGGCCTTCATGTCCCCTTTAATGTCTAGAAATAAATATTTTGGCAATTAGTGGCCTATTGATGGTAAGTTAACGGGAAATTGCTGGCCTTTTACCATATTAATAAAGGCCATGTGTCAGGAACATGATCACAGAATATTCGATAGTGTCCTTTGACTAGTAGTACACCGATTGAACTATAATATCTATACAAAAACAGAAGGCATTTCAATATAGAATATTGTAGAAATATTATTTAATTCAGCTATATAATATGATAATACTAAAAAAAAGTCTTCTTCAAAAAAATTATTAATAAAATATTCTAAATTAACATGCAAAAGTAAAAAATTACAATGAATATTGAATACCAGCAATACGAGACTGGCCCGCATGTCCACTCGTTGAGTATGTAACAAGCGATCATCGGTGTCTCCATCTATGAACGCGGGACGGGGTCCTCCTGGACTGTTTGCGGCAGTTAAAAACCTTTTGACTTTTACCATGCTTTTACCCAATACAGTTACTTACTCTTCATAAGGCCATCATCAAGCAACATAATGCTGGGCCACTATCGAAAGGCCAAAAGTAGGCTTTCATCTTTTAATCGTCGCATTCATTTTCCCTTCAGTTACAGCAAAAGGCCAGCAATATCCCGGCAATTTATTGTTTGTTGGGGCGGTTTGCGAAAATAATAAACCAATTATTAATAATATAAAATAATGTGTGGTAAGTTGCGGTTCTGTAAAAAAAGTGGGGATGTGGTCTCAATGGAAATATAATCCTGGACGTTTTTTGAATGTTCAGTATTCGACGTCCAAATGTATTCCAGAATTGAACGTCCTTTGAATGGTCAAAAGTGTTCCATTTGTATACTTCACTGGACTTCTATTGGATGTCGGAAGTCCAGAAAAAACTCATTCTTGGACGTCTAGACATCCAAAATTGTATATCGAATGGACGTCCAATGGACATATTTGTATTGTCTGGGTGATAGCCAGGCCAGGTATTTAACTCTAAATACATAAACCTTAAATGACATCTGGCTTAACTTGGCGAGAAAACACTTGTTTATACAGAAATGAGTGATAAACTTGAAAGTCCTTTTAATATAATATAAATTCAGAAATTCTAAAAATATGTAACTACTTTTTAAACCTAAAAGTTTTTAAAAATATAAGCACATTGCAAATATTTAGTTAAATATCTCAAACTTAATGTCTTTTTAATTGTTACCTAAATTTTTTGGCACCCTTATTTTATTTACCTTATTTTTACTTAAGGAAAAGGTAATTTAATTTAAATATGGGGCTTTTATTACATTTTTAACAATAAATAAACAAAATATTGAACAAATTTTATAGATAAATTATAAAATAATAAACATCTTTTACTTTTATAATAAATAATTAATTATTACATAATGAATTATATTTTGGTGCCGAAATTTCACCATTGCTATTAACCCTAACTACTTCAATGTAATTAAATCACATTACAACATTTGCGCATGGACTATAACAATGATTTCAGATAATTTGCCAAACTATTTCGCTCAGTGTAGAAAATAAGCATGTTTTCTCAGCGTGCTAAGTTGTGTATCAATCAAAGTCATGCTGTGAAAAAGGTACATCCGATATCAAAGGCACCGACAGCTACTGTCGCTTCTCCTTGATCGTTATTCTCGGATTATAACTGCCACATTTTAGATAATTAATAAACACATTCCAAAGATACATGCTTATTTTGTTACCAGTTCTAAACAATTTCACATAGAGGGATCTCCTAATTGTAATAAAATGTGGTTCTTACATGGCAAATTGATGAAAAGGGTAGGTACAAAAATGATCTGTAAACCTTAATTACCTATATAAATAAGTGTTGTAATAAACGTTTTATTAAATATAAACGCAGAGGATTGTTTCCAATAGATTCATTAACTTATACAACTTTAATTATTTACAAAATAAATCAAAGGTTTGTAGATGTAACTACACACAGATTGATAAAGAAAAACGAAGGAAAGGTAGGTCTTTTTAAGTGTGGAAATTTTATTAGTATACGCCAAGAGCTTGCATTATAAATGTAAAAAAAGAACAAATTATCAATCATTCCATTCTTGTTTACATTTATAATATACGGATGAAGTCTTAACAGTCGAACTGCTAATTCTAATAAAATGTACACATATACACATGTAAAAAATTGAAAATACCTTTATTCGTTTCTTTTCTTTATCTACAAAATAATATAAAAGCTTATAACAGCAATTACTATCGTCTTTATTATTTTATTTCTACTTTGTCCAATTCAACTTTTGATATATCTAAATTAAAATTTGACAGGTACTTCATTCATATCTAAGACCAACAATAACTAGACTAGATACTAACTAGACCTCAACAATGATGAAAAAAGCATTACTTTAAACTAACTTTAATAAATAATATTGCAAAATTATTAGAGTTATAAATAATTTACAATTATATTTGTTCGTAAATATAGTATATGTTATGCTGCGTGAACATTAGAATAATAACCTGTCAAATGATTGACCAATCATCTGATGGCCAAATCTTGAAGTTGGATACATATTGATGTTAAAATATACTTTATCTAGCTCTTAATGATCAATATATGATCGAGTCGGGTACCTCACCTTTTAACGACCTCTGGTGAATTTTTTGAAACTACGTTGTGTTTGGTGCCATATCGTCTTTTGTTTTTATATGGGATTTTAGGGAAGTTGAAACACCTATTGTCTTTCATCGTGCCACTAACACAAACTCCCTTCTTAAGTACACCCAATTGGCTGAGGGCGGCACCGTAGGTCGAAAAACACGATTTTGCCACATATTCATATTCATCAACACTCTAACAAAAATACCTTATTTGTTAAATAAACAATTAAGACTTTGCGAGCATACAGAGGTTAGATATACCTTTTGGTATAGACGGTTTCCTGAACATTTTGCAGAAAACCACATCTCAATCGAATTTCTCTGCAAAAAGTTGCAAGTAAAATGCTAATGTAAACTAGTCACAATATGTTTCTTAAGAAGCGTAGTTTATTTTATTATATATTATAAAATTTTACAGTCATAGATGCCGACTTATAAACAACAATAATTATGCATTCAATTTAACTTACTAGAAAAGAAAATTTATTTTTTATAGAGTTTTAATGTTAGATAAAGAGTTGCTACTGTTATTTTTCTTTATTGAACTCCAATTTAGTCATTGCAAATATTTTTTATAGGATCCTAAACGTTTAGAACAATGGCAGCATGTGATTCCTAGGGCTGATAAAGTACTGTCTAGTTATGATTCTGTTTTCGAGTTACACTTTTAAGAAGATGATATTTTAAAATTTGATGAGACTATTTTAACTAATGGTACTGATAGCAAAATAAAAAGGGGACAGCTGAAATTTAAGGATGATGTACATTCCCAAATCTCCCTTTATACTTGTATTACAACAATAAAAAATCTGTTAACTGTCTTTTTTTTTACTCTTAAAACTATATATTGGTTCAATTAAAAAAAAAAAAATTTGCCACAAAATTGTACTTATTAAATTTCAGCAATTAAGAAACCTTTTCGAATTTGGTCATACATACCAAAATTGTATTTTATATAGATAAAATTAAATAATTTATCAATTAAAACATGCAAGACTTATTTAGAAATAAATACAACAGTATGTTCTGTGCAATTCCCATAAGAAGCCATGTATTTTGAACTACGTGAACCGTACCAGCGCCCATGCGGTTAATTATAAAAGCTCAATTGACATGTGATTTTTGGGACCGTATTTTGAGCATCCCTATTCCCCCCTTATCTCTACTCTTCATACCTAATATATATGCCAGCATTACTAATTAAAATGTAGAGTAGTTTTCGTGTTATCGTGAAATTTTCGTGACCAATAATAGTGCTTCGAACTCGTATTATTATTATTTTATAAAATTATCAAATTAGATGAAATTAAAATGATCTATACATCAAAAAAATGAAAGTTCTCTATGCAATAACGTATTTCGGTATCTTATTAATTTATTAATAAATAATTGTTTCAAAGAGGTTAGGTACCATCGTGTTTTATGTGTATACAGGGTGTCCCGAAATTAGACGGTCATATTTTAACAGCGTAATCTACATCGTAAAATAGGAGTAAAAGTTCATATAAACATAGGTCTGAAAACGTTTCTTTTCCGAGATACAGGGTGTTAATAGTGAAGTCCTGATGACACACTTTTGTAAATATTTTCTAAACTTTTAAAGATAACTTAGTAATATTTGGCACAAATGCTTACCTTTTTACGTTCTATTTAATAGACTAAACCCTAGTTTTTGATCATTATCATAGATAGGTAAATTAGGTGGGCTTAGGGTTAAAATTCCCTAAGTTTTTTTTAACATTTTTGACTATAAAATTTGGAAAACCAATGTTTTCTTTATAATTAAGCTACTTTTGTTGCATCTCGCTAGGACGCACCATTTACAAGAGAAAAGCATTTGAAAATTTCATGATAAGTTGATGTTATCTTATTCGAAAGTCTAGACAATAATTAGTAGGCCTGTGGAATCAGAAATTTTATTTTTTTTTTAACTTAGGAAAAACCGCTGACTAAAAAATGTGCCATCAGTATTTCACTTGTAACACCTTGTATCTCGAAAACGAAACGTTTTCGGACCTATGTTTATATGAACTTTTACTCTTATTTTAGGATGTAGATTACGCTGTTAAAATATGACCGTCTAATTTCGGGACACCCTGTATATAAGCTATTAAAATATATACTTAAGTTTCATACCTTATATATCCATCTCTTGGTTCCCGTGAATATGGACATAAACATCATTTTCAATACTAAAAAACTGCTGCAGATCAAAAATGATCGCAACACTTCATTTTGCTTAGATAAAATTGAATAACCCCACTGAACCATGTTTTAGTACCTAGCTATCTAACACCTGATTACTATTATAAACTCAAATAAGTTTATTGTGCATTTCGTTTACTAATCTTATCGGTAATCTTGTATTTAATATCTTATCAATTAAATGTTTAGTTTAATTGTGATTCACATTCATATCCACATATTATAAAGAACATGAAATGATAAGGAAATAGGTTAATTAGTCAATGATACGCATGCTACTATAAAAAGAAGGTATGTTATTGCGCAGATTTACACCAGGTGACGGTGACATACTGTGGTGCGGAGACATGATACAAAAAGTTAGATAGGTTTTATATGATACTTAGCCGACGAAATCTCGTCGGGTTCACACATAACGTATTGTGGTGTGGAATATAGTTATCTGACTGGCCATGAGCAGATTAATAGTAGTTTGTGCAACAAGAGTGGATATGATGGCCATATCGCACGAAAACGAAATTTGAGCACGATGCCTTAGGCGGAGTGCTCAATCGTCTGAGTGCGATGTAGACAATCCACTCAAGTTGTACAGTATATTTTTTTCTACGACTCACAACGAACATTTACAAATAAAAAAATATTCTAGGTTATTAAGACAAAATAAGTCATTTTAAAATAATTTATGACTTTTATAATTTTTAAAAGAAAATGAACGAAAAAAAAAAAGAAAAAAGTTAATTTCATTTTTCCCCATCCGAGAATCGAACTCCAGTCTTCCATTTGCAAGGCAAGAACGATATCTCTTGTGTGCTTCTGTTTTACGTTTTCAACAGTGTACAGTTCTATTTGAAGATAATGTAACGGATCTTACGTTAATTTGTAGTGTTCAACCTTTAACAAAATGCCTGTTGTGGGTAATGGATTTGACAAAGTCGATGATATACGAGGTGTGGCAATTAAATAACGAGAATTTAAATTTTAAATATTTACAATGATTTATGCACCCATGCTTTTACAGTACTCTCCTCCGAGTCTAACACATTTGGTCCAGCGTTCTTCCCATTTCTGGAAGCACCCCTGGAAGTCTCCAGAAGTTAGGTCCTTCAACACCGACGTTACAGCACGTTTAATGTCCTTAAATCCTTATAGCGATGTCCTTTCATTAGTTCCTTCAACTTTGGAAATAGCCAGAAGTCCAGTGGAGCCAGATCAGGGCTGTACGGGGGGTGACCCAGCTAGCACAGACACGTGATTTTCACGTGAAATACACGTCACATTTTACGTCGAAATCACCAATTTATGACGTGCTAGTGATGTGATTATGACGGCAATATGTCACAGATCAAAGACGTCATACAGCGACGTGATAAACACGTCACCAGATAACGTGTTTAGACGTCAAAAAATCACCATAATATTCATTTAAAAATGTTTAATTTGTAAAAAAAAATGTTTATAAAAAACGTTTTATTTAAAAAATGTTTAATAAAAATGTTTTATATAAAAAAGATAGGTTACTGCATAAAATTACAAAAGATTATATAGCAGTGTCCAGATATTCAACAAATCATTCCGAATATAAATCAGGCTTGAAGCAGCTTCAATGGTATCCTTATTAAATTTTCGTTTCACTAAAACAAAAATATAATAGTTATAACTACCAGAAACTTACATTATTTAAATAAAATTTGAGCCAAAAAATAGAGTTAGCAATGACCGAAAAAGACAGAAATTGTTTTATATCATTAAGCTGTCACAAAAGTGATATATTTGATGGTTCACAACTTATTATTATATCTAAACAAGATAAGTAAAATCAGATCTGTCAGGAATATGTATGTTTAAATTATCTTTATGAACGGTTTTGTTTAAAAATCCTTAAATTTTTGTTTATATTAATGTCTACGTTAATAGTTAAAACAAAATTAGGCTAGCTACAGGCACCTTTACAATATAAAAAATCACTCACCTTCGGTAAAATATGTTCTATAAATAGGAAAGAGTCCAATTTTCTCCTTTTTTAAGCTCTTGTTAAAAGGTTCTTGTTGTTTATAAGAACCTCATTTCCTAGGATGTCGGCCACTTGGAACTTGAAGTGGTTTAATGATACTCTGGTGCCGTGCTTGTCGGCGTATTGAATTCCTATAAACATACTAAAAATAAACAATAATATCGCACTAAACTTCCTAACTACTTACCTTAAAAAGACATACAAAATCATACAATAAAAGAATGTTGCAAACACAAGTTACAAAAATGACATGACAGCTGACATTTCTAAACAGTGTTGACATAAAATTTCATTTAAAAATGAAAATTCCCAAAAATCCCTAGATTTAAAATGAGAATCATAGTATGAGAGGCCACTGCAAATTTCGACCGTCATCTGATAACGAAATGAAATATGCTTCAAAGGCATATAATAACATTGTACTTTACCAAATTGCACCTGTGCCAATCCCTATCCTGAGCAAAGTGGTTAAAAAAAATTATTTTATATTCAAAAAATCACATAAAACATGACAGCGACAATTATGTTTTCCCTGAAAATAACAATCCTAATTCATTGTGAACCTAGCTTTTGAACCTGAATTATTAATATTTTTACTTATTAAACCATGTTTATGTATGAAAGGAAGAAGGATGGCATTGTATAAACCATTTGCAGAGATAGTCAATAATAATTATAAACTCTTGATAGACAATTATTTTAAACCATAATCATAGTAGTTTTTTTGTCGTATCTATGGAAACCTGTAAAAATGAATCACAACAATAGGCATACAAATACATTTTTAAATCAGCAAACATTGATTCATATTTTTAATGATATTTACCTACTAATCGTGGATAGATGTTTTTAGGCGATGTTAAGAGAAAGAAAATATTTCCCTTTAATAATATATGTCAAGATATATTTGAATGTCATTTTCTGGAAAACTCTAAGGGCAAACAAAATTAGCGCTGTCATGCCTTTTGTGATTTTTTTAATATAAAATAATTGTTTCAAGCCACTTTGCTCAGGATTGAGATTGGCACAGGTGCCATTTGGTAAAGTACAATGTTTTTCCATGCTTTTGGGGTATATTTCATTTCGTTATCAGATGATGGTAAAAATTTGCAGTGGGCTCTTGGGCTATCATAAATTTATTATAAACACTAAAGATACTTTTATTAATAAATTGAATGTAAAACAATAAAGGTGTAGAATCGACGTGTACACGTGCGCAGTTTAACGCCTCATTTCAGAACGTGACAAACTAGTCTCTAAATAACGTCATAGTACGTCTTATTTTGGTGTCACAATGACCGCTAAATAAACGATGTTGTATAAATTACCTTCTATTTATTTAATAATGAATAACAAAAACTTGAAGTGCATTAATGACATAAATAGATTTATTTTGTTCGCAACAACTATATTTACGTGTCAAATTGGTCCAAAAATGACGTCATTATTACGTTACTTTTGCGTCAAAAAATCACATCGACGTATTTGACCAAAATTCAACGTGATTATGACGTGAAACGACGTCCGGTGCTAGCTGGGGAGGGAGCGTTGTTATATTCCTACTGGTCAGAAACTGTTGAACTTTTAATGATGTGTGAGCAGGCGCATTTTCATGGTGAAGGACCCAACCATTTTTGGCGAGACACTCTTTGACACAATCGCTTAAGAACTTCAATGTCAAATACCGAAGTCACCGTTTGTCCTTGAGGAAGAAATTCTCGGTGTACAATACCCGTTTTATCGAAGAAACTCGTAGAGGCACCTGACCTTGCATCTTTTTGCATTGATTCTCGGCCCGATGCAAAACGTTTGGCCCATTCGTACACACGTGGTTTTGATAAATAGTCATTACCGAACACACGTTGCAATTTACGAAAAATTTCGGCAGGTTTTTCACTAGATTTCACTAGAAACTTGATGACAATTCGTTGCTTGTTTTTCACGTCACACATTTTTGTACGTCACGACAGTACACTACTAGCTTTAAAAAATCGCAAAGCTCAAAATATTTGTTGTGTATAATCTCGTGAACTTTACGTCAACAAATTTTCAAGATGTCAGTGTTACCCAATATAGGAGCTAGAAATAAATTCTCGTTATTTAATTGCCACACCTCGTATAGTTATATTAATTGTTCATTCATATTTTTCAAAATATAAGTATATATTGAAATATATATTGAAGTAAACATGTAGGTAATTGTTTTTTACTATATTCGAAGACTAAAATTTGGTTTTAAAACACATGTTTGTTAAATTGATTCTGATTAATGAGCACTTGCAATATGGCCGCTCACAAAGTGGCCCAATTTTATAAATCTATATAACAACCCAAGAATTTTCCGTTATCTCCATCTGAAGCTGCCCGAACCCTTTCACAAATTACATCAGCGGGTTGTGAAGCAAACTACGAGAACAAAACTGGCGCCCGAGCAGTGTTCTCCGATTGTTAGGCATCAATATTAATAAGTATAATTTTATTTGTTTCGAACATTTGAAATGGCAGATATCAGTATTAGTATTTCAATAATAATAAGATTTTAGGAACAGTTTAAATACAAAATTTAAAATAATTACTTTTTTATTTAATGTTAAATGCGTATGATACATAACCTTGTAAAAAAATTATATAAAGTAAACCAAACTCCTTATAACCATAAAGCCGGTGATAAGGTACCCAAAGATAAAACACAAACCTCTGGCTGGTTGTGGAACTGGCCAGACTGCATATACGATCGTATGTACCACTCGGGCTATAGTGAAAGCCAGAAATAATGATTTGGCGACAACAATGGCTGGGTTGGTTAGAGTATATATAAATCCAGCCACGAAGAATATTGGAATATTTTCAAGGTCGTTTAAATGAGCCCTTCGTACACGTTCGACTTTTTCCTCGGTCTTTGGTTCCGCGTGGGCACGTATGGCATCTTCAGGATTAACGAATGCCTAAAAAAATTAAAACTTTTCAAAAATATCCGGTATATGGGAAAGTGTTGAATGTGGCATCGCCGTAATGATAAATTCAAAATTTTCATAAAATATAAAATGTAAAAAGATTATTAAATT